TTACTTGTGTTAGCTAAGGTTGAACTTATTTGGACTTTATATTATATTTGATAAAAAGAAGTTCATGTATATTTGGTTTATTGAAGTACAAATTAAAGTTAACATAAGACCTTTTTTTTTTGTTTTTTGCTTTTTTAGACAAGAAAGAAAAATTATTTCATTCATAAAAGATTGTCAAATGGCATTTACAAACAATTCCTAGGAAAATTAGAATTTCAACACAAGTACAAATCACCCAAGAACTAAATATATCGCTGATTCGATCAACGATTGCCTTAATAAAAAACTTCATCCGAAGCAATACAATCTATGAGTTAGCACTAATTTGACTTGAGATCCACTAATGAATAGTTGTTTGAGTGAAAATACCCATATGATCTTCTACATACTTTCGAATATTATGAAATAAACCCAAAATTTTCTATCTTCGGCAGACAAAAAAAAAAGAAAAGAAATTAACCCTAATAGACTAACCACCATCTCAAACATGAGATCCATTTATTAAAAGCAATTTAAAAGTTTTTTGGGGCTTATCAACGGTAAAATTTCCAATAAAAGCCCTTACAAAGATTCACAAGAGAGACCAGAAGAAAAGAGATGTAACAGAAAGAGAAAAAAAAACAAAGAGAGGGGTGAAGGAAAACCTCCCAAAAAAAAATCTAGCAATGGAGGCTAGAAAAACCCTCCCAAAGGGAAAAACCCTAGAGGGAACCAGAAAAATCCTCCTAAAAAGAAACCCTAGAGGAAACCAATAAGATTACAATGTATTCAATGTGTCAAAAGAAAAAAAAATTTAAAATAAAAAATAAAATAGATTCAATCTATTCTATATACTATAGTATTATACTACTCGTATACTAAGGGTCTGTTCACATTTACTAAACTGAGCTGAACTGAACTGATTGGAGCTGAACTGAACTGATTGGGGCTGAACTGAATTGAACTGAACTTGTAGACACCTAAAAATGTCTCCCCGAAACCAAACCCGATGATGAACAACCTTTCACCGCCATTATTGGTCGGGTTGAGTATTTAATCCCGGAGTGCTTAAATTTCATATTCGATCAAACTCTATTCATAAAATAGACAACAGATCAGTCCTAATGTTTAGTCAAAGCATAGTCCAGTTTATATTTTGGCCCAAACCTTTTTATTCATTTCATATTATTTATTATTCTAACCCGATTAATAAATAATAAACCTAAATAGCCCGAAATTATGAAGCGGCACTTAAAGATGCTGAGCGTAATTAGGGTTAAAATGAATCTGGACGTAAAAATGGAAATAAATTCCACCGTGTCACGGTAACAAGTGCCGCGTCACAGGAAATCTTGCCGCGTCACGGCATACCTTACCGTGTGACGGTGCTCATGCCGTGACATGGGAAATTCTCGTGTTTTTCCCGTGTCAGATTTCACGCGCTCTATCCTCTGTGGGTCAAATATGTCCCGTGTCACACTAAATTTTCCTGTGTCGCAGCATATAGCTGACGTGTCGTGACAACCTTTTTTAGGTTTTTTTTTATAATCATTTTAGGGTTCCACGTGTTCCCTCTGCTCATTTTCCCTATAAATACCCCCTCATTTCTGCAGTTTGGGGCATAAATTAACACTCCCTTCTCTCTTCTATGCTCTAGCCTAAACACTAGCCTCCCTTATTCTCTCAAAATACCTCCCTTAAGCACTCCAAGGAGTTCGTACTTTACCCGAGGTTTTGTCCTTAAACCAAAGCGTGAAAGGCAGAACTGTTTGATGGTTTAGCCCCAAATCAACTTTATTTAATTTAATTTTAGTTATCATTTTATTTATTTCATTGAAGTTACTAACTCGTCATTATTTTATAGTTGCAAGCAAGCAAAATCAAAGTAAGGAATCATGTTCCTTTTATTTCTATTATTGTTCTAATGATTTTATATTATTGGATTATTGTTAAATTGCTTCCAATATTAATGTTTATTCTATTATTATTTATTGATCACCATATTGCATGTTTAAAGGGAATATGTAATTGAAAATCACACCTAATAAGATAATTTGGACGACCGGTTTAGGTTCCTTTTTAATCTTGTTATTTAATCAAGTGATCAAAATATTTTAGAATTATATATTGCATTAATATTCAACCAATTTAGCATGATTATGTTTGGAGAAAATTGAACCTTTGTTTGTATGCCTTTGAGATCGCATGAATCACTTTTCACAGTAAGAATCGAGTAAATGCCAATACGGGCGAATGTGACTCCATGACTCACTTCGTATCATCATCCCCGATCCTCCTTTCGTGGTTCCGAACCATATAAAGTTAATAATCTCATTGATTATGAATGGGGTGTAACCTTCACGGGTCAATCGTTGTTGCCTTTCGTTGTCCCTTAATCGTGGTTACCTTAAATGATCCGTGAACGGTTTACAAGTTCCTTACAAACTTGTTGGCAGCTCCCTTCTTAATTTCCTTATCCCTAATCGTATATGTCAATTCCCACTTCCTATGAGTGTCAAGCATATTCACAACATGCTTAACGTAGGCGCACTTCAAACGACGCCTACAGAACTGAATTGAGCTGAAATGATTATTTATGAGAGAAGGAAATTTGGAGCTGAACTGAACAAAACTGAACTGATTGGAGCTGAACTGAATTGAACTAAAATTAAGCTGTAGTGAACATGCCCTAAAGCATAAACTGCTTGCTTTAGTAGATTTTCCCTCCCAAATTACCCCCATTTTCCCTCCTAACCCCCCCCCTTTTAAATGAAAATAAGATCCTAATTTTCAAGAAAGAATAACTCCTAAAGTAATTTTCAACCTAAATTATTTTTACAATGACCGTGAATCTAATAATTTTCAACCTAAATTAATTTTCAAGAAAGAATAACTCCTAAAGTAATTTTCAACCTAAATTATTTTTACTATGACCATGAATCTAATAACTTTCAACCTCAAAATCATGTACTTTGTATTAACTTTTGCTTATTGTAGTCGTCTTCTATATAATGGAACGAGAGACACTATATATATATTAAGAAGATTGTATCAGGTAGAAGGTGGTAATGTTACCTAGTGGTTTAAGGGGTAACTTGAATGGTTCAAAATTCTAACCATAATCCTAATGTCTATCAGGGCCTTAATTACTTTGTTTTTGAGTAGAAAAACACGACATAGTTCAATACAATTTACAATGTACTCTTGTGTTTGTTTACATTTTTTTAGCAATCTAGTGCAATTTACAAAATTCTCATGGAATAATATATAGATTTAAATCCGAAACTATCCTAGCAATGGATCATTCTAATCCACTATTTCTTTAATTTTGATGTTCAAGAACTAATTTGATTGAATTTTGTTTTCTTTACGGAGAAACTTCTCATTAAGTGGTTCACACAATTTCTATTGGATGATGAATATCTTCATTCAAAATTATACCTTAAAGTATGCAACTCTGCTCAATGAAATTGAAATTTATGTCCTTTTCTTTTCTTTCATGCAAATGGGACTTGAAAAAAAATCTAAAGCTTGCAATCAATTGTACCATATGTGAAAAGAGTATTGTATTCACTGGCTGCTAGACCTTTAAACTTGATGGAGTGGTTGATTTTGTGCGGTCTTTAAATTACCATATATTATAGCTCAAGCTTGTACTAACTATTGATTCTCAAGCTAAATAGATATGAGCTTTGTAGAATGCTAGGCTTGATTTTAGATATGGCTACAATATCCAAAGTTACAAAAAAAAAGTTAATAATTTGTTCCTGTTGAAAATGCAGTAACTTGTTATAGTAGCTAATCGTAAGTCATTTGACATTTGGTGATCAAAATCGTGTTTTTTTTTTTTCATTTTTTTCAAATGTAAAATTACAAATTATTAATGAAAATATTAGTTGCCAAAAAATGAAAATATTTGTGTTTTATGTATATATTCAAGTGTCTGCTGGTCAATTTAGATGAAAAAAGAAAAAAAAAATAGACACGCATAAAGGGCACTGACTCAGAGGCCAAACCATTAACCAGTGGACACTGGTTTGGCATTTGAATCGATGCCTTTTATAACAAAAGGGCACTAGTGCCTTAATCATTTGGTTTTGGTACCAACCATATCAACACCAGTTCAAAACTAGTGTCTTAGGGGGGTTTTGAATCGGTGCCCATTTAGTTTTTTTCAATTTGTGGTGCTTATTGGAATCTTCTCAATAAATAAATTACTAATATTTTATATGTTTGTATACTTATTGATAATCAAATATATTATTGGTCAAAGTTTTGTATTGACATACATACTTAATCAATATAAAGCACTTAAATAAAAATAGAGGGATAATAAATAAAAATAAGATGAACTAAACACAACATAAATGAACGAAACTTTCGAAATCAAATAAAATCAATATACGGAGTACATAGTATATTATTAAAACTCATGGCAAGACATGTTTTTTTTACCACGTGTCACCAATTTTGCCATTTGATATATATGTGACGCCACATCGTACCAGTCCATTAATGATTGAAAAACTCCATACATTATTGAAAAACTCTTAATATGCAACACCCTATTTAAATTTCCCTTTGAAATGTAACACCTTAATAATTGCACACTAATAAATTTGTAAGAAATTAAACATTACTCCATTTTTTTTTTTCAAATTTCTTTTCACAACGGATTTGGTTTATTATGTACCTTATATTTACTAACAAAAAATTATTCTTATAGTCAAACTAGCTTATACAAACAACAAACTACTTAACCTATCATCTTTAATTTTTTTTTTCAAACCACTATTTAATATCGTAGTGACAAACAAATTAAAATATATATAATTCGATTAAAGTAATAAATTTATAATGACCCGGTCATCGCCGAGCCAATAACTTATATTAAATTTAACAATACTCTGTACTATAAAACTGTGTATCGCAGGATATTAAAACAAGTTACATTCAATACGGATCTCAAATAATATGCAGCCGGGGCTTCACTAGCCGCCTATAATATCCTTTTTCCACAAATTCTACCTTCTATGACTGCATGAATGACAAAACTTCTTGACTTCTACTACCTCCAATTCCTTGTACTAGTCTTCATCCATAATTCCATTTAGAAACGTATCATATCGTTGTTCTCCCCTCATTCATTCTTTCTCACTCTCTCTCTCTCCCTCTCTTTCTCTTTCATAGAAGCTAAAAACATTATTACTATGACTACTACTCCATTTTCATCAATACCCTTAGAAAATTTTCCTTTCTCAATGACAAACATTATTCCAATCTCTCATCATACACCCATCTCTTCTTCTTCTTCGTTGTCTTTGATTGATGTTTACAAGAATGGACTTATTGGGATAAATACGACGAATACAAAGACTGAGCTAGGGATGGAGATGGATATGGATTTTCAACATGATAATGGAAAAAGATTAGCTCCTAATGAATATGTTGGATCGTCGAGTGGCGGAATTAAAGAGAACAAGAAGGATAACAAGGAGAAAATGAAATTGAGAAGGCATAGGTATGCTTTTCATACAAGGAGCCAGGTTGATATACTTGATGATGGTTATCGTTGGAGAAAATATGGGCAAAAGGCTGTCAAGAACAACAAATTTCCTAGGTAATTTTTAATATACTGCATTATATAATCAATCAATCAATTCTTTAACATTTAATTTTAACTATGTGATTATTTTTTACAACAATAATTATGTGATTTATTAAAATTAGTATCAATCATTTGAATCAATAAAAGATAGTTAATCAATAACGCGATCCCAATTATTAAAATTCAATTTAAAGCTACAAAATAAACAAGTTCATGTATGAGAAATGCATTATTGGTATTTATTGAAATTAAATAGTTTTTCTTAAATTACTTCTACTGAAATTAAATTATATCTTCTAATTTAAACTAATCATTGTAATGAATTGCTATTTGTTCTTTAGAAAACACAACATTTTCTTGGTTAAAACTTGTTTTAATGAATTTAACTTATTTTTTGTTAAAATTAATTTTTTTAACTTAGGTGATTTGAACATAAATTAAATATAAATAGTGTAATCACTAAAATTATTTTAATCAGCAATGTGAAAGAAAAAAAAAATATACACCCTCCGTTACATATTACTTGCAACAAAGGGGTATTATTTGTGAGACATAATATATTTCTTTGTTGCGAATTAATATGTAACGGAGGGAGTATATTGGCAGTTGCCGATCAGCAAAGTCTTTAGAGTGATACTTAAATTTTATTTTCATTATTTTTTAATGTTTTAATATTTGGAAATTGGAATGATTAATAATTTTGTCAAAAAAAGGGAAGAAATCTTTTTTAAAATAAATATATTTTACACATGCTTTTCACTTTTGTGACCAAAAAAACACCTGAGGTTCATGAAGATCCTACGATCATCTATCTATCTACTTGTAGTTTGATGACTCAAAGAAATTTCTTATTTATGAAATTCTACAAATTAAAGGTAGAATTATTAGCCGGTTAATTTGGTAATAAAATTTACCAACTTTAAGCTATAATTGGAGTTGTTTTATTTGCACCAATCTAATTGGTTATTAATTTTATTAAGTCTTGTATTTCATGCTAACCCTCTTGAATGCGTGCTATCTTTAGCATGAAAATGATGGATTCTAATTATATCATTTCAAGAAGAAAATAAAGAGGGCTATCTAATCAAGGAACTTGTAATTGGCAAAATATGCATAATCAGCAATATTCATCGTCAATAGCCAATGACTTTGATACGACATAATGGAATTTGAACCAACTAATAAGAGTGTGTTCTTTTCGCTTTACACTTATTAAGAATTAAGATTATTATCTTACTTCCTCCGTCCCTTACTTAGATTCCTAAATTCTCTCTATTATGTGAGGGATAAATGCATACTAGAAGTAGGAATCTAATTAATGGATGAAGGTAATATTAAATCTATTTGATGAATTTGATATTGCAACCTAGAATCAGTAGAATGTGAACTAACTAATAAGAGTGTTTCATTGCACTTTTTATTTGTAACTTATTTTAAATTTATTAGAACCTAGTAATTGTTATATATCAATCTAGGTCCGAACCATCCTTTGTTAAGTTTGTTCTAAATTAAACCTAGTTAATTATCATCCCGGTCTTGTCCTAGCACATACAAAGTATAACCTTAGAATGATTTAATTTGGTAACAACAAACATTATTATATTTGTTTATTATCATTTTGCATTCATTATTATTATTATTATTATTATTGGGTGGGATAAAAGAAGTGAGATAAATGGGTGTAAGGGGTTACTTAGGAGAAAGGATAGATGGAGGAAAATAGGATATCTTACATGTGGCCTTGTGGGTAATAGAACTTTTCAAATTTTTTTATAATGAGAAATAGTGCTACATGAAAAACACCCTTCCTTCTCTAAAAATTATTCTTGTTTTAACTTTATTTTGTGAGACAAATACCATTCAATACAAAAAGCTTTTAGAAATAGGAGTAATATTAGATTGCTCTAATCTTACTCATAAATAATAATAATAATAATAATAAATAATAATAATAATAATAATAATTTGCATGATCGTCAATTTTGTCAACTTACTAATGGCAATGACTACGCAGTATATATTGAAAAATTTTAAGGTACAACAGTCTGTTCCTTGCTTGGTATAGACTAAAAACGCGAAAAGAATATGTAACTGTTTTGAAAAGAACATACCGTTGTTTTGTAAACAATATATAACAGTTTTGTAAAGAACCTACAATTTTATTTTATTTTTTTTTATTAATTTTTTTTATCTAAAGAACATCTATATGTAATATTAATAAAGAACATGAATATTATGTAATGAACATTATTTATATATATCCACCATAATTTCAAGACAAAATTCAAATAACATTTCACAAATAAAAGTACACTACACTGACAATCAAAGAACATGGACATATGTTCGTTTCACTCTTTTTTTTTGGTGCAAAGATGCTCTTTTTTACTTTAGGTATATGTTCACTACATTTTAATAGTATGTTCTTTTCACTATAGTTGTATGTTTTTATTACATGTTTATAATATGTTCTTTTGCAAAACGATGGTACGATACAACTGGTATAATATTACTATAAATAACAATAGTAAATACTTGTAATAACTTAAGTCATAATAATAATAAAATATTTACATGCGGTGATGCGGATGCAAGGTAAGCTAAAAAACTACCTTTGAATGTACCTAACTCTATGTAAATCTGGGGAATAAGGAGTTGTCATAACAGTAGCTAGATTTAATTTCAATCTTATTTCAACTTAATTACTAGTATCTGTGGATTGTTAGCTTTTAAATTGACTAATGTATGGAAAAAGTACACATTGAAAAATCCATCATCGGCACAAAAATTCTAAAATCAAAAAGTCTATTTAGAAATCCATTTTGGTATGCCCTATTTCTTTTTTTGATGTGTCAATACATATATTTTTGGTGTGAACAATTTGTCCGATGAGCATGTACCTCTCAAAAATAATTTATTTCCTTCCGAAATTTTGTCACAAATTTCCTCAAAATGAAACTTCAATCAATAACCTTTATTGTGATTTACAAATTAAATCTAAATCATCAATCAAATTAAATTATTTGTAGAATAATTATTGTACATTAGAGATTTAGAGGTGATGCTACCTTGAATTAATCAAAAGTTACAACTGAATAAAACTTACATATGAATAAGGAATATCTTTTAGTAACAAATTACTTCCTTTATAAAAAATTTACCCTGTTCAAATTATTCAATTCATAATGTATAAAACTATTAAATTACGTTATCGTTTATAAAATCAATAGCTTAAAAATTACAAAGAATTATGAACATCTTAAGTTACAATAAAAAAAATTGATTACAAGTTATATACTTACTCTAAAGCAGATTAAAAATTATCCTAAATTTAACTTATTCTAAAATGGGTAATTGTATGGTAAAATTACAAAACACGCAATGTACCCAAAAGTTTATGCACCAGCCTTTGAAAAAAAAAAATAAAAAAAAATAAAAAAAAATATGTTTATGCACCGTGTTCAATTCGTTCCTCCTGGCACGTTCACTACATGCATTTTGTTGACACATGTGCACTATTACTAGCTAACATGTTAGTCCAACCATAAACTTCACAACACCGGTGGTCCGGGAGCACCATGCTCGATGCTTTGATCCTAGGTAAAGTGTATCGGAAGCAGTACTACGACGCCTCTCTTTCACAAGTCACAACTGAAGCTTGCCTGTCTGGCTATCTCTAATAATTGAGTATCCGTATCACTAATCACCCAACCCCTAACAAGTAACAGTTAGATAGCGTGCGCATGCAGGACAACTAACGTCATTTAGGATGTGATGAGAGTGTGGAGGCAGTTTCCGTACTCTTTTTCCTGAAATTGAATGTAGGGAGCGTGAGCATGTAGGAGCCCAGGGTTGGCCACTTGGCCGGGTAGGGAAGCCAATAATTATGAGATAGCTAAGCACCTTGCAAAAGTTATTAATTCAAGTCTTTATTACTATTATTGTTAGGCCAACTCCCCAAAAAACATATATTTGAAAGATACACTACACTCGGATATGAAGGTGTCAAATAACTAATCCGACCGATTCAATCTGAATCGATTAAAAAAAAACCCGATTAAGATTTCGATTCATATGGAGGCAATAATTTAATATGACTATTTTAAAATAAAATTGACTTGATTTCACCGAACCTGACCTAGTTTCCCGAATAGACAGATCGAGTATATATAGCTTGCTAATGAAATGTACAGTTGGCAATTTAAGGCAATGCATGCATACCTAAGCAACAGACACCTTTTTGCACATCCCATTTACTAACACGTGGCGTTTCATATGTGTCGCATTATAACGGATTTACAAATGATATGTTCGTAAAAAGACTAGATCAGATTATACATTATACACACTTCGTATAATACAAATTCACCGTACCATCTATCTTATTCATCCAGCTAGGATTCAAGCCTAAACTAATGGTAAATGTTTGGTCTCATAAATCATAATAGTTTTAACAATTCAAGGTCATGAGAATTAATCATTAGGGTAAAAGTTCCCTTAACTTTCCCTCCTCTCCCAAGTTCCAAATGATATTGACTTTCAAAGTTAGACTGAATTGATATGTAAGAGGTATTGTTTATTTTAGAGTATTTACCTCCCCTGACTAACAGTTAATTGACGCATATTTAATTATGATGGCAGAAGCTATTATCGATGTACTCATGGAGGGTGTAACGTAAAGAAGCAAGTGCAGAGA